CAACGACCAAAGAGAAAAAAAAAAAAAAAAAACCTAAAACGCAAAAAAACTAACTAGATGTTAACCTTGTTCTGACCGGATGAAAGGGGCACGAGGGGGTCAAAAAAAATGCTACAAGCCAGTTCAGGTTAAAACGGCAGGCTACCGAGGGGTTAATACACCACTACCACTGTATCGCAGGAACAGGTGTGCACCATGAGTCCATGACACACCCACGCACAAAAAGTTGCAGGGATCTCCTCAACAGGGAAAGCTGGTCAGAATGATGCAAGGGGACAAAAAAGCCCTTTCTCGGCCTGATGAGAGGGCCAATTCAGCCAATTCAACCGCGCGCCTCGGCTTTTTAATTTCGAAAAATCTTTTTATTTACTGGCTCTCCACTGGTTCACAGTTGGCACTAGCCTGCGTTGGGCCTTGAAGCCAGAGAGAGAGAGAGAGGAGGGGGGGGAAGCATGTCGAGAATGACGACGGAATCGACCAGGCTTGCCCTCGGTACCTCCGTTACACGTGCCTTTGTCATTCGCCGTTGCTGCATCTCACCTTTGACTGCAGTGTAGTCATCAATCTTCTGTCAAACTTCGGGTAATTTATGCTGCCAGGGCAAAGTGCACCGGCCTCCCCGTTGCAACCACCAAAAAACCCGCTGTCAGAAGCAAAGGTGGGGGAGACAACTGCAACGCTGTGAGACGTTGGCATCACAAGCAAGCAAGCATTACAAGCAAGCATCACAAGCAAGCAAGTTAGCATCGCAAAGTGGGCGCAGTGGAGTTTTTTAGCTGCTGGGTCTGGCTGGAGCCAACGCATCAGGAAGACAGCATTTATTCGCCCTGGATGATACATTGGTTAATTGGATACCAACAACTAGTTATGTACAAAGGGGTCCGGCCAACCTGGCGTATCAAGTAGTGTGCGGATCGGCTAGCCTCGTTGCCTTGTTACATTTGCACAGGCCAGGGTTTGAACGGTGCCCTCCAAGATGGAGCTCAGTTTCCTCCTAGCCGTGGATCCTACGCATTCGAATATTATATGCCCCTTGCCTATAATAGAGAGATTACAACAACTCAAAGGGGCGCCGCTTCATGAGTCTGATAACCTGAAAGAGACGTGCACAACAAGGAAAAGTTGAATGGTCATCTCTTGCGCGTCATTGCTAAGAAAAATACAACGACGAACTCGAGAGACGAGTAAGAATGGGAATAGAGGCAACAGAGACTCTGTGGAATATTCTGTGATTTGCCTTGTTCATGGTCGCCTGGCGCGCTTCAACTCTGGAATTCGGATCCAACTACCGGCGACAGGCAAGTTGATTTGTCAAAATGTCTTCGAGCTGGGCCAACATGCAGCTGTAGAGCAAATTTCGTGGCTAGAACAGTATCAAGAATATAATCTGCTTCTTGACAATGTTGAGCAGCCTCAAAACTCTTGTATCTCTCTTGACCGCTATGAAAACAAGGACATATCTCCGGTCTCGGAGAATAGGGCCAGATTCTTTCTAATGCTCGGAAAAGACAACAGCTTAGTCTCCCCCCAGTTCTCTATCATGAAGATAGACCATGTGCTCGTAGAACGTGCTTGCCCTCTCCAGTAGTGAACTGAAAGGGAAGTGCTTGGATACCGTTTATGCTTGGCTTTGTGTGTACGTGTCTCCGCTGTGTTCAAGGTAAAAGAGAAAAGAAGGAGTATTCTTTTGAGGAAAGTAACAAGGCTATTCGGCTTGCGTATTTAGTGTCCGACCATCACCGCCATTGACCGCCAACACTGATTAAAGAGGTAAATAGTCTTGTTAGCCAAATCACACAGCTTTTACTCTATGCTTGCAATCGCCTACTCGTGTAAACTTCTCTCTCATGTAGACATATTCCAGAAACAAAGTCCCATTGCCGTCGCCAAATTCAACGCACAAGTCGACTCCCCAAATGGAGCCATAGACGATGCTCAGTGAGGAAGCTAACATCAGCTCGATACCCAATCTCCAATGGCTGAACTTGAGAGGAATAGGAAACAATATGGTAATTGTAATTAAATAATTAATGATAATGGCGGCCGCTGCAGACACTCTTGACAGTGACATGCCAACATGGGCACTTGCATGTACGTGGCGCAACTCTATCTCTTCAAGTGGCGGCGCACTGGAGCTAGGCTCCGCTGCTTGTGACGAGCTCACCAGGATGCATCATTAGATTATTACGTTTATTTTCTCTTTAAAACTAGCCTCCATCTTATTGGCCTCCAGCCATCGTTCTTGTAGTGCGCGACTTGATCGCGTCAATACCCCAGTTGCTCGTTGACTGCTACAACGCCCGATTACCATATTAGGATCCTCGCCGGATTAGCAACACGAAGCCGCTGATAGCCGACTCCAAACTAGCTCTCGAATGGCTTGCTTTATTGGCTGTCAGGCCACTGCAATTACGGCAGTTATTTAACCCCCATATGTGGCTTGACAGGCAAGGCTACTACTGCTTTTGTCTGAACAGGTACAATTATAGTTTGCCGCATGACCCCATTCTCCGGCAGCACGGCATATCTTGCTGGAGAAACGTGGCGGTGGCGCATTGTATCCCTTGCTATTATTAAACTGAAAAGAGCTCGTCATTGTTCCCAATTCGCGGGCAGCATAGCCTGCCGGGGCGTCATCTCTCAGCTTTACTCATATACGGGAAGTAGCTTAGGAACGTATGACAGGACGGCCTTGTCTTCTGTGCGAAAGAGCTTTCGCGGTTTCAAGAGAAAATTGAACAATTCTTTTTAGAAAAAAAAATAGAAAAAAAAATAAACAAACAAAACACCCAAGCTTGTCATGTTATCAATTTTGCTTCTCTGGAACTTGGCATGACGTTGAGCTCTAGTCCCGCGCCGTGCGCCTTTCAATATTGACGCACGTTGAACTAGTTTTCAATCATCGCCAAACTTTTCTCGTATAAATCGAGCCATTCTCGAACCCGCTCGAGCATACAATTTGATCTTGGCAATAATAATCAAAACATTCGGCTTGGCCGTCAACTCCTGCGTTTATCCACCGCCAAGATGCTTGTGCTCTTCTGTCGCCGGCGTGGCGTGTAGAGTTAAACTTAGAGTCACCTCACACCGAGTCATGGCACGAGCCAGCTGTTCATACGGCGGTAGCCGACCCAAAAACTCGGCTATCTCGCCGAGATTCTATTAATTGACATTTCAGATTTTAATTGGACCATCGATGCCGTTCGGTTCCTGGTAGCGCACGAAGCGTGTGTCTCAACACGTACAGGGTGCCTGATTCACGACGGCGTTATCTCCTCAGCCTACCACGTCGACATGGACTTTCCTAGGCCATGCAAAATAATTTGTATGACGGCGAAAATATATACATGGGAGCTTGTCAATTTCTGACACTATGCTCAAACGAGGATGCTCAGCGATTGACCTCTTACTCTTCATCACGAGTCGGGACACAATACCCTGTGAAATATCACTCCTGCCGACGTTCAAAACAGCTGTATTTCATCGACGATCAAACCAAAGGTCCTGTTTTGTGGCTTTTTGCTCAAGGACTGGAAAGATGAGCGTCAAAGAGTACAAGTCGGGCATCGTGCTTTGCGCGTCGCGGCAGCAAGCCACTCACTCCTCTCTACCTACTTATTTACCGTCGGTGTTATGAGCCCAGGTACTCCCCGCACTGGTACCAATCTCCTCCTTTGGTATCTAATGTTCGACATGGACAGGGATGTTTGATGCCCATTACAACTTGTAGGCTCATGGCGGCCGTGGTTGGGCTCTGCGACAGCATAGTTCCAGGAAAGCTTGCCAATTGGCCTTTGATGCGCATCAAGTGCCGTCTCAAAACATCATGAATTTCCATCCGATACGGTAAACAAGTCCACTTTTGCCCACGGGCGACGTAGATAGTACAAAGCATGTCATCAAGCTTGAACACGGCTGTCAGGCGCGAGTCTTGCTCGTGTCGCAATTGCCTCCCCATAGCAGGCGAGGCATACTTCACAGCTCCGTCCTTTCTGCTGCGGTAGAAAAAAATGGGTTTCTTTCAATACTCAATTATTCTTCTTCTCTTGCTAAAGAAAGCTTGTATTCATCTCCTTGCCGTTTTTGAATTATACCAGAATGCCGTCCTTTAAATTCGTTTTCGCCGCTGCCGCCTTGCTGGTGGCCGCCAACGCCAAGACTGTCAAGATCATGGCTACAAAGGACAATCGATTCGACCCTGATTCGATTACTGCCAAAAAGGGTGACATTCTCGAATTCCATTTCAAAGGACCCAAGCACAGCGTTGTCTCTGGGGACTACCACAACCCCTGCGCTCCTCTCCAGATAGGAACTGGCTTCTTCTCCGGCTTCCTCAGTGGCTCCAGTGTAGGTTCAGCTAAGAGTTCTGATGGACTTTATGTGTTCACCGGTACTGATATATTGTCACCTACAGGGCAAGGTTTTCCGCGTCGAGCTTGACAATACCGATGCCATGATTTTCTATTCCTCCCAAGGAAACGCGTGCGCCTCTGGCATGGTGGGAATCGTCAACCCGAGCAAGGACAAGTCTCTGCAGGACTACAAGAGCCGGGCTAGCAAGCTTTCTGAGGGAGTTTCTCCTGGTCATACTGCTTTCGGTGGTGAACTGTCGGAAAAAGGCAGCTCCCATGACGACAGCAAAAGCGACGACAAGGACGCTCAGGGCGGCAAGAAGAGCGGCGACAAGCCTGGTCAGGACGATAAAAAGAGCGACAACAAGTCTTCTCAGGACATTATAAGTAGCCGCAAATACTGCAAGAAGAATTTGGCTGGTATAGTCCAGGTCTCGACAGTGGCTCTGACCGGCATTTTTGGTGCTGCTTTGTATATGCTCTAGGTCAATGCGATGCCTGGTGGTGTAGCAATGCCGCTGTCCAGCTTTGAATCTTGCTTTTAGAAAAGTATTACCTCCAAGTATTATTGATTTCATTTTATAGTGCCTTTGGCGTTAATATCAACATTCAGGCTGCCTTTCTTGCTTGTCGTTGTAATTGCAGAAGAATCAACGGTGACTACATGAGAAGTAGTTCTGTGTCTCCACCAGCCAAACCTGAAGTCTGTTAATATACCATGAAAAAATCATGTATTTCCAAGTTCTTGCGCAGATGCTTCGCAATCTGACTCTGTCGGGGTGACTCATCCAACTCCAAAATAACAAGAGCCACGCTAACTAAGCGCAACGCGGGGAAGACGTTGGCCGAAGCTGTCGACCCTCTTACTAACATCGACCGCGCGGATTATAAAGTCTTGTTTGGCTCTGCAGACAATTTCAACAATGTGAGAATAGACAACGTTCAGACTCTGTATCATGTCAACCCCTCATTCAACAAGCCCGCGTGGGCGGCTCCGTGACGTCGTCCCCTCTGTCTTTTTGGGCTCATGGCCTCCGGGATCCAAAATGGAATTACAGATGTGCCAGGAGTCCGCGTCCACACACAGTCTATCCATTCAGATGATGGAAATGTGAATACGGGAGTCACTACAATCATTCCGCGTGCCGAATGGTTCAACAAGGCTTGCCACGCAGGCGTCTTCCGGTTCAATGGCTCTGGAGAGATGACGGGCACGCATTGGATAGAGGAAACGGGTCTTCTTCATTCGCCCATTATCCTCACCAACAGCTTCGCCGTAGGTCAGGCATACACTGGAATCTACCAGTACGCATTGAAAAACTATACTGGAGATGAGGGTGAGGTTGGCTGGTTTCTCCTCCCCGTTGTCGGCGAGACATTCGATGGCTACCTCAACGACTTGGGTGTCTTTGCCGTGACGCCTGAGCACATTGTCAAGGGCTTGGAAAACGCCAGCAGCGATGCGGTGAGAGAGGGGAATACGGGCGGTGGTACCGGGATGATCTGTCAAGGTTTCAAGGGCGGCACCGGTACCAGCAGCCGCGTTGTCCCTGCGGCGGACGAGGGCAAGACTTATACGGTGGCAGCCCTGGTGCAAGCAAACTACGGTCGCCAGCACCATCTTCGCATTTCGGGCGTTCCTGTAGGACGCATCCTGGCAGAAGAGACGGCCAAAAAGGCTGCCGAAGCCGGAACGGAGGTGCCCAAGAACGAGGCCGACGCGTCAAAGGAAACCAAGGACGGCTCCATCATCATCATCCTTGCGACGGACGCACCGCTGCACCCGACTCAGCTTCAGCGCCTCGCGAAGCGCGCTACTGTTGGCCTGGCACGGGTGGGAGGATACGGGCACAACCCGTCTGGCGACATATTCATGGCCTTTTCGACGGCAAACGAGATGGCGGTGCAGACTGTAAACTCCAACGTGCGCAAGGTTGACCCTTTCAAGCTGGGTTCGCACAGCATCGAGACTGCCGATGACCAGACGATCAATGCTCTGTTTGAGGCGACAGCTGACGCAACCGAGGAAGCTATCTATAATGCGCTCTGCATGGCTGAGACAATGGTTGGCAATAGAGGTCATTGCATCGAGGCTTTACCTCTGGACAAGCTAAAGGAGATTATGGACAGGTATCACTACTCGGGATAGTCAGGGACACGACACGGGCTGTCACTGCTTGTTGTTGTGGGAAGACTCTGCTCTTTTCATAAATGATATGTATGCACTTTTTGAAATAGTTGTCGCTCGTATGCTTATGAGAAATTCATGCAGTCGGTGGGTATGTTTGTCGCAGATGCCATGACGTGACTTTTTGTTTCTTCGATAGCGGTCCGGCTTCTTCCAACTCCACTCTCGAAAATAAGCCGAACTCCCGAGATATCGACCAGTCTGCGACCACACCTGGTACAACCACATCTATGACTACGCCTGTGACAACAATGTCCTGATTTTATTCGAGCACACAACAAGGGCTCACACAGAAAAAAAAAATTATCCAATACAAACTATGCGGGGTAGCACCGCAGCTGCAGTGCTGTCGCGTCGTCTGCAAGCCTCGGCCAATTGCGGCCGCAGCGCCAATGCAAAACAAGCTCGCCGCCGCTCGATTCAGACCCTCTCTGGCGGGCGGTCAGCGTCTGCCTCGCCGCTACTAAAACGGCGCCCGGCGAAAAATGTCTGGAAATGCCCAGAAACGCATCTGGTGCGAGGCGGCGCCCTGGTCCAGTTCCGATCCCTTGCGACAGAGGCTGGCGTCAACGCTGATGGTGGCGGGCCGTTGGCAGAATACGATCGCCGCGTAGAGGCGGGTGAATTGCGCAATGATGAGCATCAAAGAGGTAACGCATGAAAGGGGGGGTTTCCGGGAGGGTGCTTTCACTCCTTCCGCAGCGCGACCTTTGCTAACGCCCGACAAACAATCTAGGAATCATCGAAAGCCTGCAACATCTCTATAATGAATTGCGCGACTACGACGCACCGACGGTCGTGCATCCGAGCCTCGAGTCGCTAAAGCCCAAGAAATCAGTGTTTTCGTCGATATTTGGAGGCGGCCCGAAAAAGGGAGAGGCCGCCATCGGTCAAATACCAGATAACTTGCCCCGCGGATTGTACCTCTTTGGCGACGTCGGCAGCGGCAAGACGATGCTGATGAACCTCTTCTACGACACGTTGCCGCCTTCGGTCAAGAGCAAGACGCGGATACATTTTCACAATTTCATGCAAGATGTGCACAAGCGTTTACACAAGATCAAGATGGAGCACGGCAATGATATCGACGCCGTCCCGTTTGTCGCCGCAGATATTGCCGACAAGGGCAATGTCTTGTGCTTTGATGAGTTTCAGTGCACAGATGTTGCAGACGCCATGATTCTTAGAAGGTATGGTGCTACCATACTGCTCATACATTGTAATTCTTTTGCTGACCGGTAATCAGGCTCTTGGAGGCTCTCATGTCACATGGCATTGTAATGGTGACGACTTCCAATAGACATCCCAATGAACTGTACAAAAACGGCATCCAAAGAGAATCCTTTATCCCAGCCATCAAACTACTCAAGACCCGGCTGCACGTCATCAACCTAGACTCACCCACCGACTACCGCAAGATCCCCCGGCCACCCTCGGGCGTCTACCACACGCCGCTCGACAAGCACGCCAACTCGCACGCGGAGAAGTGGTTCCGCTTCCTCGGCGACACGGAGCACTTTGCGCCGCACCCAGAGACGCAAAAAGTCTGGGGCCGGGAGATTTACGTGCCGCGCGTGAGCGGCCGCTGCGCCTGGTTCACCTTTGACGAGCTGATTCGGCAGCCCAAGTCGGCGGCCGACTACCTCGAGCTGGTGCGCTGCTACGACGCCTTCATCGTCACCGAAGTGCCCGGCATGACGATTCGCGAGCGCGACCTCGCCCGCCGCTTCATCACCTTCATCGACGCCGTGTACGAGGGCAACGCCAAGCTGGTCCTCACCACGGAGCGGCCCCTGGGCGAGCTGTTTGTGTCGCGCGACGAAATCGCAGAGAGTCTTTTGGCATCCAGCAGCAGCAGCAGCAGCAGCGACAGCTCGGCGCCGCCGGCGTCGTCGTTGTTGTCGTCCGAGGGGCCTTTGAGCGCAAAGAAGCCCGCCGCGAGTATGGAGGAGGTCATGGACGAGATGATGGCAGATCCGGACGGCAGCGCCGCAAAGCTCAAGGCCTCGAATCTGTTTTCGGGCGAGGAGGAGGCGTTTGCGTTTGCGCGCGCGCTCAGCAGACTCAGTCACATGGAGAGCAAGGAGTGGGTTGAGCGCGGCATGGGCCTGGAGAGCAAAGGTGGCAAGGAGGACAAGGATAACTGGACACGCACACGGAGTCGGCAAATGGAGGACTCCATGTAAATGGGCTTCACTCGGAGCCTTTGGAAAGCTATCGAAGCCTTTTGGAGAGCTACTCGGCGATGCATATATTTCTTTACTCATTTATCAGCGCTACAGAGAGATCTTATTGGTGAATGGGAGCGCCGAGATGTATTGTTTGCATATCTATAGCATGTTCTATCATATAGACTGTCATTCTTAGCGCACACGAGTCAGACGGGATATCCAAAAGATGTGATGACATGTGTCCGACTCATTATCAGACACCAATATGCCCACATAGGCTGAGGTAATGTCTCTGCGACAAGGTTCACCATCCGGACTTGGGCCGAATCTAATAAGAATAAACGGAGTTGCGGAGTAGATAATTAGAATTAATCTGTAGCAACATTGGCATTTGGACTCGGTAAATTCACAGTGCGGCCATAGAGACGTGCAAATCACGACAAAGTGACGGAGCAGCAGCCGGTAATAGTGGGCTGAAGAAGCAAAAACCAGAATAAGCAAAAACTGCGCGTCAGGCTGAGACTGAGACCTGCCAAACACCGGCAGTGGTGACCGGCTGCCAAGTAGCCACGAGGGCACAAGAAACCAGAACGCGTGAGTAATCAATTCGCGCAAAAGAGAAATGTTAACGCGTTGGCCCAAGTCTGAAACGGTCTTTGTCCATCTGCTCATTCCGAAAAGCGCACAGGGCCTTGGTTTCATTGTTCGCGACAAGCGACGAGCAGCAGTAGTCAAAAAAAGATGGGCAGCAAACAAAAAAGAGCCCTTTTTTTTTCCCGGGGCGCAATTGAATGCAATTGTGTGGTCTGAGCGCCGACATGCGAGACAAAAATGGGCTGGGCTGCCCTGAGACATCCATCACGAGTGCCATTTGCATGTGCGCGGTGCGCTCGGATAACTAACTAGCGGAAAGAGTTGAAAATGGGTTGAGCAAGATGCCATTTCTCTGCTTCAATCTTCTTCCTCTTCCTCGTCATCGCATGCATTCTCGTATCATTGGTCCTCTGGATTCTCAGGCATGAGCCGCCATGGCAAGATGGCGTAGCTGAACGCTTTTACCTCTTTTTCCAAGACAAGTCGGTACTACGGAGCCAATAGCCACATGTACAGCGTTATATTGCACATGAGGCGCGACGTAGTGCTACGCTGTGATGGAATAGCGAGTCGATGGCTCTTATGAGTCTTTACTCTTTCGCTGCAGCTCATCATTCCATATGCTGGTGAAATTAAGTATGAGTTCTCACAGAAAACGCATGTTCCTCATCTCTGAATTCTGTCAAAAAGGCGGGACTTGCTCCATTCGGCAATAATCGACACGTACCGAGCTGACGTCAACACGCTAATACCAGTTCAAGTACTCCGGACCGTTTATTTCTTCGTAATGGTTGGACCGCCTCCGATGGGAGGAGCTGGGAGCCACAAGGAAGGCCCCGGGGCTTGCGTTTCAGGACGCTGCTAGTAGATGAACAGGTTGTGTGGGGAGAAGCCGCGAGCCGTTAGTAAAGTTATTAACAGTCAAACAATGAAGAGCAATGCGCGGGTCATTCGTTTGGTGTGTAAAATTGTTTGTTTCGTCATTATTTCTCGCGACTGATGCGCCCGGGACGTGGCACGCATGCTTGGACGCAGGTCACGGCAAGCAGAATATTCTCAGTCGGTGTACGGATTAAAAGATTGTCCTTGATGGAAGCTGACGGAAGCTGAAGGGACAGGACATGGGTAGGCAGATGGGACGGTACTTTGTCGTCATCACAGCAGGACGGTCAGTCACGATGACGCGTGGCTGCGTCGCGGTGCGGGATGTATGTAAATAGGGCAGCAATTGCTCCCTAGAGAAATAGGAAAGAATCAATAATGGAGAGATGCTTTCGCGTCGAAATACAGTTTACCGTTAGGCTCCTTTGTAATTGGATGAAACGGCGCGATCATGAGCTACCGAGTAGCTGGCTCGCCTTGGCACCGTGCGAGAATTCGACCCTTGTGTGGGGAGATGGCTATTCTTGTCTTTCTGGCATAAAAGAGCGCAGAAGCTTTGTTCTGCATTCCTTCACACACCTGGGCCCGAGCTGGATGTCGACGCTGAGGCTGTTCGATGCTTGTCCGAGTTGTCCGAATAGAGTTGTGAGAGATCGGCAAGCGCCACGGCTGAAGAAGAGTCTCATTAATCGGAGGCGCTATGACGACCTGTTTTATGCAGGAATTTCCCTTCTTTTTTTCCGTCTTTTTTTTCCTTGTTTGAGTTCCTTTTTATACGATGGTGGAGAAAAATTTTCTCTTGCTGCGCTCCGGCAAGGCTGCCGATGCCGGACTTGACTGCTGAGACACGCCATCAAGGGCAACATTGCTCAGATGGAAATGGGGCGGAAGCAGGCAATGGCAATGGCAATTTGTCGCGATGCAAGTATCAAGGGCAAAGGGAACACCATATGCAAGAAGCTCCCGTCGTCACGTTTTGTGGATAACTGAACATCTCCCTCATCCCTTTTTGATTGGTCGAGGGAGTAATGCATATTGCATTCGACCAGTGGCTGGCTGGCAAGATTTACTGGAGCCAATGGCAGTGACCGGGTGCCTGTAACAGCGGGAGCGGCTGTTGCACAGGCCCAGGCACAGACGAGGCACCAAAGGCACTAACCTGCAGGCTGTGTGGTACCTGATTCCAGGGGCTCTTTCTTGCGCCCAACATCCTCTCCGCCTCTCCGCCTCTCCGCTCCTGTCTGATTCTGATTTATGCCGGTTCGTATTTATCTACCAGTCCTGTGCGTGGCCGATCAGAAACCATTGCCCCTGGCGATGATCATCATCTAGCGGGCGAGCTAGAGCATTGTAGGCTGTCAGCGGCGTATCTCAAGCGAGGTCGCAGGGATCTGCACTAGTGCAGAATGTTTTGCACAAAAGCAGTTGGGTTTGCACAGAGTGACGGATTACATTAATACATGACTCATATATGCGAAATTCGAGAGGTTAAAAACACGTCAAATCTTATTGTGCCTGTATTTTTCAATGAGATTTTGATTCTATTTATCCTGGGCACCCTTGGCACCCTGGGCTTCCGGACCTCGGCGCAAGGTCCGCGCGCACAGACTTTCACAGACCTCTTTTGCCATGCAATCATGCACCACAAGGCACAAAGCGATTGTCATGGGGCTATACACTAAGTAGGGCAGACAGGCAGTTTATGAAGGCATGCACAATTGCCAATTGGTAGGAGGAATACGTGAACAGGGATAAGGGCGGATAATGACCTCGTTCGTGTCCACCCATCCACACCTTTTGGCCACTGCTTTTTCTCAATGTGATGGCATCCACACCTTTTGGCCTGGCCTCTGCTTTTCTGTGAAGGTCTCACCAGCCCCGTCCTCGACTTCAGACAAGCAAAGCAAACCCATCTGCTAGTCTGTCGAACCGTCGACCTGGGCAACCCTCCCACCTCGGTGCCCCCAAATTCCTCACAGCCAGTAATAATAGTCCATAATCGCTGCAAATAGGTCATTCATTCAACCCCCCCCCCCCTCTTCCTGATCCCCGGCTCTTATCCTTGCACCAGGGCCTTTTCTTCTCCCTTCCCGCCCTTCCTCTCCACCATCGTCCCTGCCCATTTCCATGCATCATCTCTCGCTAGTCCTTCGTCACTTTTCTTCCTCTTCTTGCCAACGTGCATATCTATCAATTGCTTGAGCTGGTGCGCGCGTGCGTGTTCTTCTCGCTCCTTTCTCACCGCTCGTGTGCTGCGCGCCAACTCATTCCATTCTTTCCTACTCATCACGACTCTTTTTCAAACGCTCTTTATTTCCTTTGCCCATCTCGACCCACGCGCGATAACCGACGGACAACTTCGTATCACTCACTTCTCATCACCAAATCAGGGCGACCAACAATTCCCCCTTCTCTCGGAACCACTTCTCCGACTGCTGCTGTTGTGATCCGAGACATTGCCTCCCCAATAACCAACACACTTTGGAGCCTTTCAATAGCCTGCCAATACATTCGTACATTCTTTCTCCCTCAGCCTCCACCAGCAACATTCCAGTCTGCCGGTGCGCGCCCAGCCTCTTCCGCAGGCTGCCGAAATAACTAGTCGCTGGCCACGACTTTTGTTGACTTTGCAGGGATCGCCTTGCTTCTTTCCTTTTCCTCGTCTACAACTCGATCTTCTCCCGCCTCCCATTGCCGCAGATTTCAGACGCCAAGATGGGCCACTGCCATCTACATCGTCACCATCAACGCGACTCTGCGAGCGATCTCGGCAATCTCGCCGATGGACTCCCAAAGTCGCTACTTGTCGATGGTGGCGACAAGGTTCAAAGAGGTAAGCGACTCGCTGTGTCCGATTCGTCTTGAACTGAGTCGTCGCTCGCCATGCCCTCTGCTCTTTACAAGAGCCGTCTCTTGAACAATACTGACCGCCTGTCCAGCCGAAACATATATCCGTACCGTTTACAAGACAATGACGCCCGACTTTACTGGCGAAATCGGCGGCTATTCAACCCAAGGCGAAGACAGTCCCAAGCAGACCGAGGAGTCTACTGCCGCCAACAACACGCCGGAATCTCAGATTCAAGACACGACGACCACCACTCAAAATCCCACGTCGACAGCCACCGAGATACCGAACGCAATCACTGCCGCCGCGACCTCTATCGGCTCGGTTCTCGCCCTAGCAGACCCAATCCCAACGGCTCAAGAGACCAAAATGGCAAACTCGTTCTCGCTGCCAGCACCCACAACCTCACCTTCTCTTGTGCCTTCCAGCAAAAACTCTTCCAGCAAGAGCTCTGCCGATCAGGGTACTAGCCCTGCCGCAAAAGCGGGCATAGCCATTGGTGTTCTCGGTGGTGTCTTTCTTGTCGGTCTAATTGCCTTTATTGTCTTCAAGCGCCGCAAGAGACAGACCCAGAGCCAACGACTCAGTGGTGATAACGAAAAGCTCAACCGGGCAAGCGACACTCTGGCTCGCATGCCCAGCCACTCTGATCCCAGGGCCCCTCGCATCAGCCTCCGCCCTGTTACCCAGTTCCTGCCCAACTGGAACCTCGACAAGAATGCTCAGCGTGGTGCCGCCAACCTCGCGCCAGCTGCTGCCAGTCAGATCGATCGCCCTGGCACCAGCCATAGCAATCACCCCAATAACCCCTTCGGCAGCGGTGCCGAGCGCATCAACAGTCCTGCCAACCCTGTTCAAGATCCATGGACAGCCAATGGCCCTGCCATCAACGTGACTGCTGCTGGTGCCGCTGCTGGTGCTGTTGGTGCCGCCGCCCTAACCAGAAAGACGTCTATGCGTCAGCCGCATCAGAACGGTGTTGATCTCACTGTCCCTGGTACCCACGAAGGCGTCCCGCCCAGCCCTGCCGGTACCGAATTCAGCACCTCTTCGATGCCTGCCGGAGCCCCCAATCCTCCTTCTCAGAGTGCAGCCGCCATTGCTGCTGCTGGCGGCCCTCCTAGCTCTGCTGTCCATCGCGTCCAGCTCGACTTCAAGCCCACTCTCGAGGACGAGATGGAGCTCAACGCCGGTGATTTGGTTCGTCTGCTTCACGAATATGATGACGGCTGGGCTCTCTGCATCCGTCTTGATCGATCTCAGCAGGGTGTCGTTCCCCGTACTTGCCTGTCTACTCGTCCAGTGAAGCCCCGTGCCCCCCCTGGCGCACCTCGACTTGGACCTCCCATTAATCCTCAGGGCGGTTATCCTCGCGGAGGCCCTCCGCCTGGCCGCCCAATGACTCCTCAGGGAAGGCCGATGACTCCTCAGGGCCGACCTATGACACCCCAAGGCCAGCGCCCTCCACAAGGCATGGGCCCCAGACCAGGCGGCCCGATGAGCCCTGGTGCCCGGCCCCAGTCCCCCGGTCCTCGCTATCAAGGGCCTCCAGGCGATCGTCCTCAGAGCCCCAACAGCATGAACCCTCGGCCTATGGGAGCTCCCGGCCGTAGCCCGATGAACCCTACCCCAGCGTCCCCGAACCAAGCCCCGCAGAGAAAACCAGTTCCCGGTCAAGCATACTGAAGGATGCTCATGCCGACGTCGGTTTCTGATTAGCACTTTTGGGTTTGATTTCAACTCTTTGGAGTAGGCGATTTGGGCGAATGTATAAAAGGTCCGGCGTTTTCGGTTTTGTCCTCTTGTTTCATGCAGGGCAATGCCACAAGAATGCCGACTTGGAGTCTGAGACGGTCATCCTAACTACCCTGCCGAATTTCTAATGGCATGTTTTTGCAGTCGTTTGACTCTATACTATTGTTGCAACTATTTGAATGGTACAATGACGTCAACTTTCAACGTGGCAGCTACTGATATTCAGCCGCTGACACTTGAACGTCGGCATATACCAGGCAAACATTTCTGTATCTATCTTTTTCTTACACTCTTTTGTTCCCCTTATTTTGGACGTATAGTTGCACTATATTTGATTTCTAGTTGAGCGGGAGTCGGGCAGGTTGTGTCGAGGATAATGTGGGCGCAAGTGCGAACGATGATTGCCTCATGTTGAAAGGACGACAGAAAGCCACTCAGATGAATGTATAGGAATGAGAACAATATCAAAGCTTTTCGCAATTTGTAACATACCTGCCATTGCATCCATTGTGTGATTTTTGGATTAAACCGTTGGTAAAATAGCCCCTCGTAAGTTAGATGAGCGGTCGGCATCTGGCGTTTGCAGTTGACTGCGACCTCAACTACGCCAGCCATCCATGCCAACTGTCAGGCGAGCAGCTTTGCCTTTGCTTGAATCAGCCTTGATATTGAACCAAGCCGCATTGATTTGGAATCCCAGCGCAGATGTGATATTTCCCGTGCAGGTTGGAGACGAGACAATGTAGGCATTCGTCTATCCACACTGGGCACGTTCATTCATCGGATCAAAAACATGTCAAGTAGACTCCATTCATATTCATGCAACGCAAAGCTCATGCATAGTATTAACGATTGAAATTGCCCACGCGCACCCGCTTCCATTGCCGTATCCAAAGGAGAATGATGATATTGCGCCCCCCCTTAGTCAAACGATAAACTTGCCGCCGCACCCGCCGCACGTCTCCGCCGACACGTCGAGCGGCACGTCGCGGCCGAGATGCTCCCCGGCCAGCCTCGCCAGCTCCGCCGTCTGCAGGCAGCGCAGGCCGCAGACGGCGCAGACGCGGGACACGCCGGGCGCCATGATGGGCATGCCCGACGACGCACATGTTGCTGCCCAGAACAAATGAATACTGTTAGCCAACTCTTTTTTTCTCTTGTGGATCTCTATATAAGAAGAAAAAAGAATGTGCGCGCCTCTGACAGCCAGCCGGCGAACCACAAAGGAACAGACGAAAAAGAAGAAAAAGAAGAAGGAAAAAAAAAAACTTACCAAATGAGTGGCCCGCGTCACAAACGGCCTCGGCGCCCTGCTCTCGCATGGGGGCCTCACAAAACACGCAGCGGATGCGCGGCAGCACGTCGCGAAACTGCCACCGCAGCGCGCTCGTCAGGCTGCTGCTCACAGGCAGAAAAGTGTCGTCGCTTGCCGGCGTGGTGCCGGGGACTTGGCTCCCTCGTCCGTACATCCATTCCCATACGCGCGCTTCCGTCGTCAATTTGGCAAGCGGTGACGGTGGTGGTGGTGGCGGCGGCGACATTGTCTTTTTGCTGCTGTTCCCCGTTCCTGCTGCTCCTGCTGCTGCTGATGACGCTTCCTCGGCGTCGCCGGGCACGTGCCAGCCAAACATGACCTCGGCGCGATCGCGCCGGCTCGGGTGCTGCGTGTTGTACTTGGACACGACGGTGGCGGTACATCCGTCGCCGGGAGAGGCAGCGAGGCCCCAGAGGCGGAAGCGGCGCGGGTGGACGTGCTGCTGCTGCTGCGACGAGGAGCGTTCTTCACGGGGTTCTTGCATCTGCACGTCGAGGTCGGGGTCGACGTCGAGACCGTCGCCAGCGTCTGGAAGAACCGCCGGTTCTCCCCCGTCGTCCTCGTCAGAGGAGTCGTCAGAGTCAATGTCCTTGCCGCGCAGGGCTCTGGCGAGAGGGATACGCCGGACGGTGCGTTGGCCTAGGTCTTCGGCCCATTGCGGGATCGGCGTCTCGTCCTCGGGCAGGGTGGTTTGGAACCAGTCTTGGTTGGTGGCCGTGCAGGACTGCCGCACGAGCGAGTAGTGCGGTGCGGGAGACCGTGATGAAATGTCGGCGTGGTGGATGATGAGGCCTTACAGATTGTTAGCGAACAAGCTTCAGTTGGTTGTGCGGCGTTGATCGTTACCGGTTATGGGATTGGTTGGCACGTCTTGGCTTGGATACGTGGTCGAGCATAACCTTGTTCTGTGTCGCGGTAGGGCGGCGCTGGACGACGGGCCGGTGAGAGGAATTTGGAAAGGTTGGAGGATAAACGGAGAAGCGATGATCCCACGCATGTTGATGATTCCATCGTCGTTCCAAGGCTATGGGAAAGCAATCAGCACCAGTGCCTTGCCAAGGGGGGACAGTTTGTATCACTTACGACATTCTCCCACTCGAGAAAGGCATCTGTAGAGAGGAATAAACAGATACCCTTCAAATCATGTTCGTCTACTGTGATAGACGGGGTTTCCCCTAGTTTCCACGACTCTTCTATCACAACCCTGCGGAATCCAACATGATTGTGTGCAATATATGACAACGCGGCAATCTGTTTCCCCTCGTGGCTAACCCATGGACTCCATTTCAGAGAAAAGGCAGAGCCAGAAGATGTAAAATCAGGATCTAGCGCATCCGTAGCCTAAGGGTAAAAAAAGTCAACAAAAAAAAGTCCGTGACTTCTTTGCATTTTCACCATAATTTTGTTACTTACCACGTGCGGTCCGCTGGCGTCAAACCTCGCCACTTCGCAGATATCCCAGCCCTTTTCATCCGGTGCGCTGTCTCGACTGTAAAACTGCACCGCCATCACGACCACTTCCCCCTCATCCGTCTCATATGCCAGCAGCGCCCTTCCCGGCAAAATCTCCTTTGCCCAAGAAAATGCCGTTATGCGCTCATTCATAACCTCGACATCCCGTCCCAGCTCCGCGCGCCGCCGCCCTCCTCCCGCAATCGGCAGCGGCAGCAGCGCGCCCAGCCCCCACAAAGTGCGCCAGTTCTTAAACGAGCGCACCTGCATCGTCGATGCGTCGCCGCCGCCGCCGCCGCCACCAGCTTTGCGCAGGTCAATGTGCTCGCCGAAGCAGATGACGGCGCCGTGGCCCGTCAGCGCCGTCAGCACAGGCCGCAGGTTGCTGCCCAGCCCGCCAGGCGACCACTCGACGCGGATAACTTGGCCCAGGGAGGCTCCCGCGCCGGTGATTTTGCCGCGCCCGACGCCCGGGAAGCCGCCCGCGCTGTCGGTGCCGCCAGACAGAGGCTGTGGCGGTGGCGGCAGCGGTGGCAGCTCGTGTACGCCGGCAAAGAGGCAGAGCGGCGCATTGATGCTCGGGTCGGGCCGCAGCGAGCCCGACGTCTGCATAAAGAGGGGAAACTGCGGCGACGCGGCGTAGCGCTCAGAGGGGGGCTTCTCCCCTTCGCTGCTGGTGCTGCTGCGCGGGTACTCGGGGAGGAAGATGTGGATGCCTTCTATGGTTGCGATGGCGAGCTCGGCGTCACAGGACCAGGCAATCGCGTGGGATGTCAGCGGCCTGGATGGCAGTGACAGGTTTTGAAGGGGTAATGCCTGAAATGAAAAATCGATCGATTAATTGTCTGGACATTCGGAATTCATAATGTGATCTGAAGATTAGCTTGGCATACTTTGGACTTGTCCATGTTTCCTTCATTCCGGCGAAAGCACTGTGGCTCTATGTCATTAGTGGTCCAGTTGCAATGGCTTGTTTGAGTTGAAAGGCTGGCAGAAATGTTTGTCGAGTTAAACAGGTGATAGGTGTTGTTAACAAGATGTAGCGATCTTTTCGGCCGTGTTTACTTTGATGTTGAACTAAGGTGGGGCAACATTTTTCAGACAGTCTTCAGCAGTAAGAAGTTTGGCAGTATTGTACCGGCTGTCATTGACCGATTCCAAAAAATATTAATAATCTATTGATTTTAGACCCCGTCTTGTAGTATTCGTCCCCTGCGCCACGCCCATCATCAGATGCTAATAATACAAGTAGGAAAGAAAAGGTAAAAAAACCAAGCCGCTAACATTCCCATAGAGAAGGCTGTGTCGACGCCAAGTCCCAAGTGGAATCGTGACAAGAGTGTAATAAAGTAAAATCTGATCATCTCATACAAATATATGGCCATTACTGCTTCAGGCCAGGCTGAGGTGTATTCGTTTGGGCGTACTGCTGCTGCTGGGGTTGGTGGTAGGCGGGCTGAATCTCTTGCACAGGCAGATGCTGCTGCTGCTGGTTCTGATGCTGGGGATCTTGAGGCTGAGGATTTTGGGGCTGCATTTCGTACTGCTGGGCCTGGACGTTCATCTGGGGCTGTTGGGCGTACTGCGAAAGAACGGGCGTCTGGGGCACGAGTACCTCTAGAGCACCATCGTGACGGCGCCGCGCAACCATGTTCTTACACTGGCTGCAGCGGTACTCAACGTCCTCGAACCAGCCGGCGAGGCAGGGCACGCAAGTCAGGCAAACGCAAACGAGACAGAAAAGGGCACCGACGAGACTGTAGCCGAGACATTAGCACGTTTGAGCTTTACGCTATCGAGTCCATCAATACTGGAAGAAGATACATACATTTGCATAGAGCTTCCCTCCTTGCGAATTTCTGTCATGGTCCGTCGATGGCAGAACGGGCAGTCGATGGGCTGCGGTTGGTCGCTGAGCATGTTGAGAGGCACGACAGTCGCGGGATAGCCATTTGGCCCTGGGACGGGCACGCCATGGGGGGCAGCTTTGGCCTGGTCATAACTAGGGGGAAGCACTTCGTGGTTGTGCCCTTGAGGAATTGATTGAATGGCCTCGGGGTTCTGAACGGGCGGTTGGTAGACGTTGGCGGGTTGGACAGGCGACGCTGGTTGTTGAGGTTGCTGAGGTTGCTGCTGTTGCTGACTCATTTTGTCGTATTTCTGCGCCGGCGAGGATTAAACTGTTTTCGATAACTCGCAACTTAGACAAGAGGACAAGAAAGAAATGTAAAGAATGGACGGGCCGAAGTGGGCGTTTGACTTCCTTTTCTTCAAGTCCAGTTTTCCTCAATCCGTTCAAGGGCGGCAGCGACTGCCTATTTTTACTGGGCACTTGGCCCATCCGATGCGCCACAGCTGCCTGCACTTGTTATTATCGCCCCCCGTATACACCCACTGTAGCTCATTCTTTGGGAAGAAAAGACATCCTTGCGCATGATAATAAGCAACGCGTGGTAATTAAGATTCGAGCGGCTGAACGCTGTGAACAGCCCCAAGAGGACCCTTTTACGGGGCTCTTTGTAGGGCTGCGCGGGCTAGTTTGCAATAGCGCCCAGTTAGGCTGACTCGAGCTTGACATATGTAGCCCATCGACTGGCATTTTCTAACTTGCCCATGTTAGCGTTTTCGATGCTGGAGGGCGCATGGCAAAGAGTGTTAGTGTAGCACATTGGCACGCTGCCAGATGTGTGGGTGAGAGCGCTTCAAGCAGTTCGTCGGGGCAACAGTTTCAGAGCTGCCAGTTGTTACAGTCAGGTTTGGCTGGAGCGTAGCCTCGTGTCCTGTCCAAGATTGGATTAGACAATGTGCTGGTGCATTGCGGTCGCAGGGGCGACTTGTGGCAGGTCATACGAAGTAAAGTATGGACGTGGTTTCGTATAGGGCGACACGCCCCTTCATATCACGCATCTTCATCAAGCTGCCACGGCTAGCGCTCATCATATATCCTATTCCAGCTCCTACGATTGGAATCGATACGCTCCTCCAGATGCCTGGCTGCGCATTTCTTCTTGCTCTTCAACGACGCTTCTTGTCTGAGACCATCAGCGTCCTTGCGATCGGCAGGCTTCGCCACCACGCTAGATTTTTGCGCGCGCCAAGCCCCCTTGCATTCATACCGAATCCGGTGACTAGAGAAAGCGATGGCCAACTTGTGAAGCCGCTTCATGCCACGACTCTTGCGGGCAGCGTGTAGAAAACAAACTCTTTGATTCTTGTCAAGCTGTCATGCTATCATCGACGGTCTGAAAGAAAAAGGCCCGGGTTCATGATGTTATGCGCCAAAGTTACTAAGCAGTAGACTTTGTAAACCTTCCTTCACACCCACCTGCACGTTACAAGTCGTCAGCTACCTATTTACACCACAATCACAATACACATAAGGTGTTCCCTAACCTTTGCTTTACTTTATGAAACGTTTGGGAGTAACATCAAAATGTCTGCCAAAGTGAGAGCAAGACCTCAAGATACGCGTGCAAGCTCTCCTAAATCACAAACAAACCTGACTTGTTTCCGATAAATTAGGTCGTGAGCCAGCGAGAATGGATCGAGGCCAGCAAAGCGCTCCTCGAAAAAGAAAAGGACCTCATGCGCGCCGCCGACGCACTCAGCGCCGCTCGTCGCGCGCTGCCAATGGTTCGAGTGGACCGTGACTACGCATTCACAGCAGCCGCTGCCAATAAAGCCGACGCCGACGCTGACGCCGACCCCATCTCCCTCAGCGACCTGTTTGACGGCATGGACCAGCTCATCGTCTACCACTTCATGTTCGCGCCCGACGACGCGCGAGGCTGCCGCGGCTGCGCCCACGTGGCCGAGTGCCTGCCCGACGCACGCCACCTGCGCTCGCGCCGCACCCAGCTGGTCTGCGTGTCGCGCGCGGCGCCGGACAGGCTCGCGGCCTGGAGGGAAAAGTGCGGCTGGACGTTTCCGTGGTACTCGACGGCTCGGGATGCCAGTAACCAGTTCAACAGAGACTTTTACGTATCCGTTGACCAAGGTGCCGCGGCGGAGAGCGCGCCGGCCGATGCGCCGGGCGGCTTGTTTAATTTTCGCACCAAGCAGGAGATGGAGGCGCTGGGGAAGAAGCCGTATGCGGGCGAGTATTTTGGCTTTAGCGTCTTCGTCAAGAATGAGAGGGGTGAGGTGTTTCATACGTACTCGACATATGGACGAGGAGTGGAAAGAGTCATGTCTACGTTTGCGCTGCTCGACATTACGCCTCTGGGCAGACAGGATGAGCCGGCAGGACCTGGCGCATTCAAAGTCAAATACGCATATGAGCAGGACGCTTGACGTGTGCGCTGCAATGACCTTTATGCACTGGACCAGGTTCGAACAGCGTAATTCGTATTCTTTCAAGCACAAAATCGCAACAGAGCATGAGAATCAAGAAAACCTTCCAAAGAGTGCAACGCCCGCCAAACCAACGCAACAAGGCCCTGCTGCTGTAAAATGCACCATATTATGTTACAAAAGTCAAACCCCGACCCTTTACTTTTCCAGAATCGCGCCCAAACCCCATAGCGCCACGCAGCCCACCAGCGCCGTCGCGCCAACAGCCTTTCTCGTGAGCCAGTTCTCCGTCGTCAACGCCGTTGCGCCCTGCACCTTGCGCGCCGATCCAGCAACATCATTCGTGGGTGCGCTGCCGGCAGGCGCCGATGTCGTCGAGTCGTTGGCGCGGCGCGCGGCGAGCTGCTCGGCCTCCTTGGCGCGAAGCAGCGCAATCGTCTTGCTAAGGCCGAGGAGATCCTCCTCGAGGACCTGATCCTGCGCCCGGTCCACCTCGACCTTTTGAATGTTGCCGAAAAAGTCGGTGATGAGGCGGCTGCGCGCGCCGTCGGCGCCTCCGGGAAACAGGTCGTAGCGGACGCCGGCGTTGGAGTGGATCTTGTCAAAGTCGTAGCTGTCAAAGAGTTCGCCCACTGTCTTTTGGCTGTTCATGTCGCGGACCTGCGACTCGAGAAACTCGAGGTTGTAGTAGGTGTAGCGGTCGATGACGGCGACGCCGACGTCGTTGTCGGCGTGGTGTGAGTAGGACGACTCGTCGAGCTCAGAGGAGCCGGTCGCAATGATATTCGGCGAGTACAGGCGGCTGTACATGGTGTTGGCTTGGCAGGTGTCGATCATGAAGAGAATCTCGTTGTATCTAATGGAACCGATTAGCAACAAAGCTGTGCGTGGGTGGAATCGCAGGTCAAGCCCACCTCTTCTTCTCCCACATTTGCTCAAAAGCATGCGCCAAGTCAAACGCGCCAATCTCCTCTGCGTCTTGGAATTTGAGAAACTCGTTACCACCATGGCCCGTCATGTACACGAGAATGTTGCTGCGCTCGTCGGTGAGCAGGCGCTTCGAGCGCGGCATCTCCTCGCCGACGCGGTCCGTCAGCAGGCGGATAAAATTCTCGACCGTGACCTCGTAGCCGCGATAGTCAACCTCGATATTGTCGCCGTAGAGGTCGACGGCGCGGTCCGAGTTGCTGTAGACGGTGCCGGGGAAGGCGTTGCGCGGGTTGCACGCCATGTCGTCGGGCAGCATGAGGATGATTTGCGAGTCGGGGATGCCGAGGCGCTTGACGGTGCGGTAGATGGAGAGCACGTTGGCTAGGTGGCGGTAGTTGAACCAGAAGCGCGACGTGCAGACAAGGACGGCCCAGTTGCTGGTGTGCTCGGAGAGGGCGGTGGCCGCGAACAGGAGCGAGGCCAGGACGGCCTGCAGCCCCGTGTCCCACTTCATTGCGCGAATCGAGGACCTTGAGGATGTTCGAGGGCAGAGAAAGTCGTAATCGTAGGAAGGACAGAGTTGGGAAGTGCTAGTCGGGGTGTTTTTGCATCAATCTTGTTCAGGGGCGTCGAGGATGTGGTGGCGACCGTGCCGAGTCTTGTAGCGCGAGTGAAGGTTGAAGCCGGGCAGCTTACAAATGTGTGGGGAGATCTTGGGCCAGTGCTGAGTCCAGATGGAGAGGCTACTCGCTAATGACATCCGCACCAACTTTTTAATCGAGATCCTGTGATACTTTGGCTTCGATTCATGTATTACTGTGCAACACAAGACAGCTTAAGACAGCCTAGAAGCGCCTTTCTCGGGTTCTAGAAACATGGTGTTCAATGCGTTGGTGCTGTAAATGAGCGGTGCCCCGGGAAGATACTCCGCTTGATACTCAATTGACGTTCATAAATACCCCCAGAATTCGATTGTGAATAATATACGAATTCTTCTTGCTTAAATAAGAGTGCTCTCATTGCAATTTGGATGCGCCGTACGGATTGCCCAGCTTTCCATCCGAATGAAGCTTGGTGATTTGAAGGACTGGGGCTACCGAAAGCGGATCCCCTGTGTCATTTTGTTCCAAGTGCAAGTGCCTGCTTTGCACCTTCTCTTGATATGTTTTTTTTTCTTGTTTCATTGTGGCTAGCTATCACCTTTGCAACTGATCTATGCTCTCGCCCTTTCATCACCCAAATTGACCTTGCCGGTGGCTGAATAGCGATGGAAGCAAAGCCAAGATGTGGCTACTCGAGCAACATGCCACCTCTGACTTTTTCTGACCGACCATGGCTGGGAGCCTTACCGTCGGCCCTGTACGACAGGAGACGCAATGGCGCAGAGTTTTACGGCCAACAAAGGGCAGATATCGTGGCTGGGCACTCCTGTTTGACACCGTTCTAGAGTCAATCGGACTGTGTCTCTTTACGAGGAGGCCGTGGCCGAGTCTTGCACAAGTTTGCCCAGTCCGAAACAAACGAAATCACAAAAAGCACCCGCTCTACTCCGTAGAGTGGCCCTGCAAAGAGCATCATCTGCACTCCGTAGGCGGTGCAAAGAATTGCGCGACCCTTGTCGGAAACGCTCAAATTGACCCCCAATCAATAACGGAGTACTGGGTTGGGCTTCAAGAGCGATGTCAAGGATCCCCTCATATTCACCGACAGCTTTGGTCAGCTGCAAAAGGGCTGCCCCGGGCCGCATAGCACGTTGCAGATCTTGCCCCCGACCTAGTCCTGGAGGGTGCGCTGCCAAGAATTATGGCCAGGCCTCGGCCATCGCCGCGCAGGCGTTCTGTATACTACCTCGTGATTTCGATGCCTTGTTCTTCCAACATGGCTTCCGACAGAGGCCTTGAAAATCCGTTCGCGAGAGATGGCTGGAGGACAAACACTTTTAAGCTGGCGACATATGCATTGTGATTTGCTGCATCGCTGTCCAGCCTTGAATTTTAGCACCTCCGCCACTGGTGATTGATTTGTGCGAGCTGGCGCGAGTTGCGGCAACCAGTCTCCGGAAAAGCCGATGGATCGTCCCCCCCCATCATGGACGTACTGGTACAACAAGGCTGTTTTTGCAGGGGCCTACTAGTTAGTGAAATCTCACGCCAAATTTCCACATGCAGCCTCTTCCGAGGCTTGGCAGTCTAAGGAGACGAGGCATTGCCAATTGAATTGGGTGCACTGGTGTATTTAGGGGCGCAAGGGGGCTGTCTCGGGTACCGGGCAGGCAGAGATGGGACGGGTAATCTCACAGTTGACTGTTGCTGAGTGTCCACTGCTGCCGTCTGTGAGTTTGCGTTCTTCATGCATCTCGTAGTTGGGTCTCCATGATTGTCGCCTCCACATGCTTCGCAGTACCAAATCTTACGCGTTTGTCGTGTTAGTTCAAAGACACAGGTTTTCTGAAGCCAGCGACAGATGCTATGTCTTTGAGCGAGGAGAGTCGGAACCTTTTAGCTAAAAATACTTCCCCTATGCTGAAAAGGCTGTGGACAGACAGACTAAGACAAAGACAGCACATTCTGCATGTCATCCACCACCACCATGTGCATTGTCGGGTGGTGGCGAGCCTGGTCGCTCAGCTCGCATGGCATGCTGTGAACGAGCCCGGGGGTGCCCCTTCTGGTCTTGATTTGAGCCAATGCCCGTTGCGCTTTATCCAATCTATTCTCCGCTGCTCAGCCCAGATAGTCAGCCTGGTTGTCTCCAGTCCCGTTTCCTTCTGCTCAATCTGGCGGCAATGTGAGTGAAAGGTGGAGGGAGAGACCCCGGAAGCCTCACTTTCGCTTCTTTGCGTCTTCGTATGGCCACTCGGCCGGGACAAGGGGCGGATACATTTCTTTTTCGATGCTTATTTTACTCCTTTTCTGCGGAGAAACAAGCGAGTAGCCCCCGTTTGCCCTTGGGATGGGCTGCGGGTGGCGTTGTGAAATGGAGGTTCCTTTGTTTCCTCAGGCCTATGCTTCTGCATGTATCACAAAAGGGAGGGGTTCTTACATATACCTAGCAAGCCCTGTTTGCTGCTGTTTTGGGGAGCAGGCTTGCCATTCTCTTCCACTTGGTAGTAATATTGCAAAGGTTACATCTTGGAATTGCGAATAGCCCCTTTGCTCTCCAGACCTCAAGATGCTTCAAAAGGTCGTCTTCACGGCGGCGCTGCTGTTGGCCTCGTCGACCCAACCAGCCGCTGCGACTCGATCCGACGGGACCCCCATCTGCGATTATTATACCAAGGAACTCTATGGAGATAACACAAAGAACAATCAGCTCAAACTCATGACGAGCATCGTCGCGTTTGCGTACGCTGGAGGAGAAAAGTTGAAAAATGCCGACAAGAATAGCACCGGCATTTTCAACGTAGGCTCGTTTGACAACAAAGCTCTCTACCTGCGCCCGTACTTTGATGGGTCAAGTAAGCAAAAGCGTCGTTTATCAGTGCTTCCTGAATCGTGTTGACACTTTCTTTTAGTGAACACGACAAACCTCAATGATCAAGCGGTGGTACTCAACTGGCTTGATGGCGGCGGCGTGGATCCGTTGCGAGCCTTTATCAATGGCACAAAAGACACAGCCAACATCAAGAAGGGCACCAACCAATAGTATGCCAAGATCCTATCCAAGGACTCGAATACAGTCAGTGTTAACAGGCTTTTGTAGCACTCTCTTCACGCATTGGTATGTTGCGTTTGGTCGCATCTACGGCTGCAGCGAGGTCGAAAACTTTCTCGATCAAAAGTACAAGACGCTCATGCCGGCCTATGTTCACAAATACATGGACCTCGACAAGGCCAAGATTGCGTACTTTATCCGCCAGCTCATCCTGGCTAGCAAGTACTACGGATTTACCGAGCAGGATGCCAACACTCTCGAGCAATACATGAACAATCGCTACAACATTCGATGCGCACCCGTGGAAAAGAATATGCTCAACTCCATCTGCTTCGCCAAGGATTGCCCACTCGCGCTCCCAAAGTCCGACTGCGACGCCTACAAAGAAATCAAGCCATACGGCGTAAGTGACGATCCCTCAGAAACGCCCAGCGCCACTGGAACCTCGCCTGCCGCACCCACAAACACCGGCGGCAGCGGCAGCGGCAAATCGGACCTCGGCACCGGTGCAATTGTGGGCATCGCCGTTGGTGCGGCCGCCGGAATCGGTCTCATCATCGGCGCGCTCTGGTTCTTCTTCAAGAAAAGAGCCGGCCGCCGCGACGACGCCAAGCAGCCCGACGGCAGTGTCGCGTCGCCCAACCCCGGCGGCTACAATGGGTCCATGTACTCGCCAGCTATGACGCAGGGCACACCCGGCCCGTACGACGCCGGCAGTCAGGGACAGTACGATCCGAGCCGCCAGAGCCAGTTCACCTACTTCTCCAACACCCAGGACTCGTTTGGCCAGGGCGGCAGCCCGCCGGCGATGCACGGCTGGACCGAGCTGCCGCCGCAGGAGCTGCACGCCACCGAAATTTCGGGCGCGCCAGGGTCGTCGCCGAGTCCGGGCTCCCTGTCTGGCTCGCAGTTGAAGTCGGGATACAAGCCAGACCTGCGGGAGCTGGTAGAGATGGAGAGCCCGCCCCCGGCACATCCAAACGGGGCTCAGGGCACACCTCAAGACGGGCAAACCCCGACACCTAAGTAGGAGGCGAAGCGGCATAACTAACGATGGGTAATCTGGAATGTGTGAAGGGAAGTTCCTTTGACGTTTTTTTCTTCTTCTTTTTGCATAATGTTTCATTGTTGGAGTTTCATATACCTAGGATACGTTTTAAGGGCATTTTCACAACGGTGTCCATCGCCATCTTTTGTGTGGAACATTTATCACGCACAAGCCAATGTTTGCCAGCGCTATGCGTGAATGAAGTGGAAGCCATGTCAAAGATCTTGTTCTGGAAAGCAAGGCCCTCGAGACGAACCGGGTTGCGTCTGCGATTGGACGGCGTAGTATATGACCTCTGCGCTCCAACTTGTATGCAAGGTGGCTTTCAATCAGGATGGTCCCGATTAGAAGCTGAGACAGTGTCCTGAGCGCTGGCAGCCCCGCTTCCTTCTATTGTTCGTCAGTATTTATAGTCGTTGAAGGCTCTGATGACCCATTTGCATGATTGGCACCACGAGCAGCAGACTCCTAGTTGCTTTTGCACCGTCAAACGGGAGCAGGAACGTAGACTCAAGCGAGATATAGGTGCTCATTTCCGAAGGTCTGCGTTCCATGCAGATCACATAATAAGAAATGCAGCCAGAATTGCAGTTTATACTGAGTCAGGCGCTGCTTGTTTTTTGCAACCGAAACTCGGCCGTTGAGGGTTTGAGGGTGGGTCAAAGACATGGACATGGTGACAGAATGAACAAGCACTTAAATTGTTTCACCTGTTGACACACTGGAAATGAATATGCGGGTAGTATTCGTATGGCGGCTGAGTAAATACGGAGTATTGACGTATATGTATGCACAGTGGGTGGTGTCACTGATTGCAAGCTTGATCCACTATTCAGCAATTGAAGTTGATCCAGGTGATGAATAATGTGAGAGCGCGCCCATGCAGCAGCGTAGCATAAGATCGATATTGGCGCGACTAGTACTCCGTAATATAAGTCTTTAGTTAGCCAGTCTTTTCAAGGGGGCAGTCTTTGTACATACTCGAACAGGTTGCATCGATTTTTAACAGACACAGCGCGCGGCTACAGCGCAATCCAACAGCGAAAGTGGGCGAGTTCACGTGGAATGACGACAGAAAAAGGAGGGGTCTACATGGAAGCTCCCGTTTTATTTTTCTTCCTGGTCACAAGGCATAACTTTTTTTTTTTTTGTTTAGATCGTGGGCATGAGGGGCACTAGTTGTGTGCAAATGGTGGCTACTTTCGGCTCGTTGGCAGCGAATCTAGCCCGAGCTATGGAGAAGTTTACTGGGGAGAGTATGGAGCGACCCAAAGAAATTAAGTACAGACGGTGACGGGACAAGGGACTTTCTTTATTTTTTGATTTTTTTGATTAGTTGCTAGTAAAAGATGCGCGTCACATGCAGCAATTCCAAGTTGCAGCTGCAGGGGTCGCAAGAGAGGACAAGTAAAAAGAGCTGTTCGTAGGTTATTACAAGTCATGCATCAATGCCTCAGTATCACCATATCATCCATCAGACAAACTGCCTCGTAAATCGATTACTAGACGGACCATTGCTGCAACCCATCACTAATCATGTAAGATGTCGCATTGTGATTAATTATTCCCGTACTTGCTTTGGCAGCCGCCCACCTCTAATTCCCCTCCCACCCCGGTGCATCAGCCATTACCGCCGCCTGCCCTCGTGAAACACTCTTCTTCTTCACACGTCTCCGCCTCCCGTCCTCGTCCTCCATCTTTCACTGCCAATGTATTCTTGCTGTCCTTCCACGGCTGCCATCGACGGCATACGTCCTCTTTAGCCTTAAACCACCACCCACCAACGCCGGCATTTTGTCCTCTCAAATCCGATCCCCGACAGGCCGAAGCCCACACGTCCATCACCTGCACGCACGCCACACCAGCCCAAGTTCGCGCCCACGTTCACACCTTGGCCCAGCAAACTCAATTTCATCACCTCGCTGCATCCTCTTAGCCTGTGCGTTCCCATAGGCTTCTTTGCTGCAGGCACGGCTTTCAAAGTGGCCTGCACATCTTGCAAAGAACCAGCAGGGCGGCCTTTGTTTGCCTGTCGCTGCGTCGCCGCTCTGGCTACGTCCAAGCTGCGGTCGGCCGTCTTGCGCCGCTAGGTTCTCTCCGGCTGATGGTATAATCATACCCGCTTGCCTGCAACGCTGCAGTTTCGACTTTGCAACTTTTTTCCAACGTCAAATACAGAAATCTTGGCCGGAAAAGACCGATTGTACGCTACCTAGGTAGCTTCCGGCGGGACATCATGGTCGCGCCACCCTCACACATCTTTGTCGTGCGGTTCGTCTCGTTCCCACGCGCCAAGCTCCCCGCGACGCATCTATCTAACGAGACTCTACAGACACGGAAATCGCCTGGACGCCGCCGACAAGAAATGGCATCTTACATCTCCGACTCCCTACGACCCTCCCCTAACGTACTCTGGGCTACAGCAAGCTCGACAAGTGGGCAACTACATTGCTGGCATTCTCGAGGCGGCCAAACTGGAACACGAAGCCAAGAATGAGGGCAAGCCTGGTACCAAACGAAGGCGATTCAAAGTCGTTATTCACACCTCTCCGTTCCTCCGATGCGTCCAAACTTCTGTCGGTATTAGCTCAGGTCTCGCTCAGCTCCCCGCCGATTCTATATATACCCCCTCCGACATCCTCGTCCCACCTCATGCAGCCAAAGGTCAGACCAATAAACTCAAGACCGCTGTTCTTCGCATAGACTCCTTTCTCGGCGAATGGCTCTCTCCGGAATACTTTGAACTGATCACCCCGCCTCCTGGGCCCGCGCTTATGCTGGGCGGTGCCAAAGCCGAGCTTCTGCGACGCGAAGACTACAGCTTTTACAGCTTCGACGAGCCACCTCCGCCGCCTCCACCTACGCAAAAGCTGTGGCAGTCTCCCAAGCTCCGGCCTGTTGATGCGCCGCGGTCCCCTGCCGAGGACAACGGCAGCCCCATTCTCAGTGTCTCGTCACTGGCAGCGGCGCTGCCCTTTAGCACAGGTCCTAAAAAGGGCTACGTTCCTCCTAGACCAAGCCTTCCAGTTTCCGGTGCAGGCAGCATACCTGAAGGTATCGTGGCCCACGCCAGAGACACTTGCGTCGGCGTAGATTTTCAATGGGACTCGATGCGAGAGCCGCTCGACTTTGGCGACGGCGGGCAACTCGGCGAGGAGTGGATTTCCATGCACAAGCGATTTAGAAAAGGTCTGCGGAAAATGGTCAACTGGTACGCTAGCACGGACAATGCCGCAGAGATGGTCACGAATATGAATTCGGACGGAGACGACCACACCCTCGACGTTACCGACAACGAAGAAATCGAGACTGTCTTGATTCTTGTATCACACGGCGCCGGTTGCAATGCCCTCATGGGCGCCATTACTCACCAACCTGTTCTTATGGACGTCAGTATTGCGTCTATCACCCTGGCTCAGCGCCGGGCACAGGTTAACTACGAACAACTGCGCAGCGAGCTGGCCAAGGAACCCGAGGTCCAGCCCCTAGTCGAGGTCGACGACCTCTACGAAGTCAGAGCATCTGCTACCACGGAGCACTTGCAGTCCACAGTCTCTTCGCCCAGCTCCGCCCGGTCCGTGTCCGCCAACAATGCCTGGAACCCTCACGCGCGCGGCCGCACGTCCACGTTCAGCAGCGGCAGCAGCGGCGCCGTCATCAGCCCTTTTACTTACAGCAGCGACGCCTTTCCCGTGGCCGCGGCCGAGCAGATGTTGCGACGAGAGTCGTCGCAAAAGTCAATCCGTGCCGCCGGCAACATGATTGCCGCGCGCAGCAAGAGCACCAGGAGCAACAGCAGCAGCTCAAGCCTCAACAACGAGATTAAGGCCGGGCGGCCCTCGAGCTCCAGCAGCAACGCAGTTGGTCTCTGGGCCCCGGCTCCGTCTTCACTCCGTCTCATGGACGACAATGTCGACAACGATGATGACGGCAACGTCAATTCGAATCCTTTCGATACAGTGCTACCCAACTTTGGCAGCTTTAGCGCCGCCGCGCCGCCACCACCACCAACACAGCCCCCTACCGAGGAGAGCACATCGACATTCGGCGCCGACCTGCCGTCCTTTCCCAGCTACACCACCTCCTTCTACGGCGGCCCTGTCCAGGCGCCGTCCCCGTTTGGCAACTTTGGCGCCGTCGACTCGCCCGTCGCGGGCAGCGGCACCCTCATGTTTGCCGGACCCATCAAGCTGCAGACGAGCAGCCTGGACAGCGATGACGACGTGCTGCTCCCGCCCAACGAAGTCATTGCCACCACCAACCCCCTCGGCGGCGGCCTCGGCGGGCTCTGGGGCTGCCCGACGCCACCGAGCGATGCGGATAAGTTTCGCGACATGAGCTGCGCTAAGCGACGATGGACGGTCAGCGAACGTCCTCTCTGATAGTCTATGGCCTCTTTCTTGCACTGAAACCATGGCCCCGATGAACACTACTCTAATTCGTTGTTGAAGCAAAGAAAAAAAAAAAAGGGGGGGGGGGAGGCCATGTCAAGGCTCGTATACTCACGAAGTTGTATTTTTAGCAAGCATTGCATTCATTTTCTACATTTTTCTTTTCTTCACGTAACGCTGGCGTACCAAGGCGTTCTTATTCAGCTTCTTGTTTTGGCAAGCGCAAAGCGGGCGGGCATTGATGGAAATTCGCAATATTGTTTTTTGACAGCGCACGCTAATAAGCCGTGTCTAAATTGTGACGGGGAATGAACGCTCTCAGCAACGGGTTAGGTAGCTGGGCAACTTATCAAAACAATCTCCATATGAAAAAGCGCACACATTGAAATAGCAAACATTTTACACATCATCACATTTTGAAAGTATCCTGTCAAGGTTAATGAAAGAAGACAAAACTCGTTACTAAGCTCTTTTGGGGAAAAGCATGCATGACTAGACAAAGGAAAAATCAGTTTCCCCTCAGATTTTTATAATACACAAAAAAGGCGACTTGATTCTCCGTCGTTCCTCCTTCAAATGTCTGGCCCAGGCCTGGACCGTTACATGGAATAATTTGTTTTTGTTTCGCTTTGACTTTACTGTTCTCTTTTTTCTTAAATCTTGCTCTTGTCGGCAGAGAGGAGCTCGGCAGCGGCACCCGCAATCGAGGGCTTGCCAGTCTCCTTGACCTTGGAGGTGAAGACGACCTTGTTGCCCTCCTTCCACATCTCGGTGATGACGGTCTGGCCGGGTTCGACGGTACCGGCGAAGCGGACCTTGATGTTCTTGATGGGACCGAACCTGGTATATAGCAATTAGCACGCAGTGTACTTTCGAGACAGGTTCATAAGGTAAGGCTACGGAGTTGACTTACTTGTCGTAGATGGCCTTGCCAGCAATACCGAAAGAGCAGAGACCGTGTAGAATGGGCTTCTTGAAGCCACCCATCTTGGCAAACGCGGGGTCAACGTGCAGAGGGCTTAATGTGGCGTTAGCTAATGTACAACCGGCCTTTTTTTTTCTTTTTTTTTTTTTTTAGGTCTAAAAGG